AAACTCATTCTTCAAAATAATGGGTATCAAACGGGGGCAATAAAACAAGGATTTGTGCTAAATTCAGTTACCTTCTTCATCACTGTCCTCGAGGTCATCCCCCATAGCATCATCTCCTAGGCCACCCATGCCACCGAATTTCTGTAGAATGCATCAAAAAGGAGAAATGCATCAGAAGAATCCTATTTTATCTTGACAGTGGAAAAAAGTCCTAACCGAGAAATCCATTCCACCCATATCAAAATCAGCATTACCTGTTCACAGTGAGAATGAATACAATCAATGAAATGTTATTACATTTTATCAAAATACTACAGACGTATAGAAAAACTGGAACATACCGGTGTCGTCATCTCCATCCAACCATTTATCCCAATCTACTTTCTCATCCCCACGCAATAATTTCGTCCACCATTTCTTCTCTGCTTTCTCCAATACGCAAAATACATTTCTCACACCTATGTTTATTTTGCTCTCCTGTCACAGAAGTTAAAAATATGAGACAAAATCCCCGGATCATATAAGTATTTTCTCACTCGTAATAGAAAAAAAGAAACTCAGTATTGCAACTATATACTTTTTTTATCAGCAGTCAATTAATTAAAACAATAATATAATAGTTTAAATATGATTTGTTTATATTTGTTGATAACAACGTACATTAAATAAGGACATATTAGAAAACTAAAAAATATTTATATTTTCAAAGTGGTCTATAATTTGGGACCAAACGAAAAAAGAAACCAAGCCTATCTTTGTGGGACGGAGGTAGTATAATTTTCCTTTTGAACTTTACATCGTAACAGGACCAGAGATATTATTAGCCGAAAATTGGGACCAAGGAAAAGATGTAAACTTTCAATCTGAAATAACTATATTCTTATCCGGACTGGTACTGATTCATACACAACGTGACATACAAACAACATATTTTCCAAAGTCTACACAGGAACTAGAAAATAAGAGTTGCTGTAAAATTACTTAGCCCATCATAGGTGGAGGTGCCAAACCAGCCCTCTACGCCCAAAATAAAAGCCCGGATTGGTCACAGATTGGGCTGGTTCACATATGTGCCAGTTCATGGGCAGTCCCACCAATGAAG